AATGAGAGGACGCCACACCTTCACATGAATTCTTGTTGCTCACGCACCAGGAGATTCCCAGCGGAGGAGCCCCACGGGTCGCCAGCGCGACTCTTGTGACCGGCGAGGCGGTTTTGCCGGCGCCTTGGAGCGACGGTTCTTGGTGCAGAGTCGGAAAAGCACCATCAATCTTAACGCCGCTGATTTGGTCGGTGCAGTGGGTTGCTCAGATTTCGGTGCTGAGAATCAGTAAGTTGGACGTCCACTTAGAAACCTAATTACAAAGACGGTGAATTCAAAGACCACAGATGGATAAATTTATAACGAAGGGAGGAAAACAGCCAAAAAAGGCTGAGAATGCCCAAGATCAGAACGCCTCTCCCTCAGCGGGGGATCACAGTTCCTCATCAGCAACGGAACAAGGCTTGATGGAGAACGAGTGTGTTCCAATTACAGAAGCAGGCTTCAAAATGTGGATAATGAGAAACTTCTGTGAATTAAAAGAACTTGTTTTAACCCAATCTAAAGTAACTAAGAACTTTGAAAAAAGATTTGACGAAATGTTAACAAGAATACACAATTTAGAGAGGAATATAAGTGAATTGATGGAGCTGAAAAACACAATAGGAGAACTTCGTGAAGTATGCACAAGTTTTAACAGCCGAATTGATCAAGCAGAAGAAAGGATATCAGAGGTCGAAGACCAACTCAATGAAATAAAACAAGAAGACAAGATTAGAGAAAAAAGGATAAAAAGGAACGAGCAAAGTCTCCAAGAAATATGGGACTATGTGAAAAGACCTAATCTACGCTTGATAGGTGTACCTGAATGTGACGAAAAGAATGAATCCAAGCTGGAAAATACGCTTCAGGACATTATTCAGGAAAATTTTCCCAGCCTAGTAAGGCAGGATAATATTCAACTCCAGGTAATACAGAGAACACCACAGAGATATTCCTCAAGAAGAGCAACTCCAAGGCACATAATCGTCAGATTCACCAGGGTTGAAATGAAGGAGAAAATACTAAGGGCAGCCAGAGAGAAAGGTCAGGTTACCCACAAAGGGAAGCCTATGAGACAGCAGATCTCTCAGGAGAAACCCTACAAGCCAGAAGAGAGTGGGGACCAATATTCAACATCCTCAAAGAAAAGAACTTTCAACCCAGAATTTCACATCCAGCCAAACTAAGCTTCACAAGTGAAGGAAAAATAAAGTTTTTTGTGAATAAGCAAGCACTCAGAGATTTCATCACCACCAGGCCTGCTTTACAAGAGCTTCTGAAAGAACCACTACACATAGAAAGGAACAAACAGTATCAGCCTTTCTAAAAAAATTATCAAAAAGAGCATCAATATAATGAATTTACATCAACGAATGGACAAAATAGCCAGCTAATGGCAGTATTAAACTCACATATATTATTATTAATTCTAAATTTAAATTGACTAAATCCCCCAATCCAAAGACAGGCAATTTGAATAAAAAACTAAAACCCATCAGTATGCTGCATCCAGATCCATCTCACATTCAAGGATACACAAAGACTCCAAACAAGGGATGGAGAAAGATTTACCAACCAAACACAGAGCTAAAATAAATAAATAAAAAGCAGAAGTTACAATTAAGCAACAAAGATCAAAAGAAGCAAAGAAGGACATTATATAATGATAAAAGGATCAATGCAACAACAAGAAGAGCTAAAGATCCTAAATATATACGCACCCAATACAGGAATACACAGACATGCAAGACTTATAAAGAGACTTAGACTCCCACATAATAATAGTGGGAGACTTCAACATTAATATTGACAGATCAATGAGACAGAAAATTAACAACGATATTCAGGACTTGAACTCAGATCTGGAACAAGTAAATGTAATTAACATTTATAGAACTCTCCACTTTAAATATACAAAATATACACTCTTATCAGTACCACATCATATCAACTTAGAAGTTTAAAAGAAATCTTGGTTGGCTCCTTGTTTGTTATTCTCTTCCCTCATTTTCTTTTATATCTCCATTATTAAGGACAATTATAGGCATACCCATATTTAGACTGCATTCTAGCCCGGGCAATAAAGCAATACCCCCATCCTCTCTCCCTCTTCCTCTTTCTCTTTCTTCCTCTTCTTTATTCTTTTTCTAATAAATAAATAAATAAATAAATAAATAATAAAGGTCAAACCAGCTCCCCAGGGGGCAGGAGGGAAAGACCCCACAAAAATGGCTGCTCTTCCTCGCCATAAAATAGCCTCTCAGAAGTTTACCTACAAATCAGTTCCATGGAGCTCAAACTAAAATGTTAAAGAATCAGAAATCAGAGAAATAAGTGTATCTGAGGCCTAGCACATGACAGGCACAAAGCCAGTGCCATGAGCAGACTTGGTTTTGGGGCGCGAGCGCCTTACCCGTTCTGATATCTCTCCTGGGAGCCCTGCGGGGGTGGGGGGGAACCACACTGATAGTTTGTGGTTAAACATACAGATATAGAAATAACTTTAAATAAAAAAACTTCTATGTGATTATGCCATCTCATATTTTCAAGTCAACATTGTTCAACCTGGTCTTTTCTCTCAACTGTCATGGTCATCCTCATACATACAGATGACCAAACTCATATTTTAAGGCTGCAGATATTTCATTGCATAGGGATGTACCATCCTGTATTAATCCACCCATCCCCCAATTAATCTGCCTAATTGATATATATTTTGGTGGCTTCCGATTCCAATTTTTGCAGGTACAAACAGTGCTACAGTGAATTTTTTTTTTTTTTTTTTTTTTTTTTTTTTTTTTGAGATGGAGCTTCACTCTTGTTGCCCAGGATGAAGTGCAATGGCACGATCTCAGCTCACCACAACCTCTGCCTCCCGGGTTCAAATGATTCTCCTGCCTCAGCCTCCTAAGTAACTGGGATTACAGGCATGCGTCACTAAGCCTGACTAATTTTGCGTTTTTAGTACAGATGGGGTTTCTCCATGTTGGTCAGGTTGGTCTCGATCTCTCAACCTCAGGTGATCCGCCTGCCTCAGCCTCCCAAAGTGCTGGGATTACAGGCGTGAGCTACCGTGCCCAGCCCAGTAAATATTCTTATACAAATATCTTCAGGCTGATGTGCAACTATTTCTTTTTTTTTTTTTTTTTTTTTTGAGATGGAGTTTTGCTCTTGTTACCCAAGCTGGAGTGCAATGGCGCAATCTCGGCTCACCGCAACCTCCGCCTCCTGGGTTCAGGCAATTCTCCTGCCTCAGCCTCCTGAGTAGCTGGGATTACAGGCATGCAACACCATGCCCAGCTAATTTTTTGTATTTTTAGTAGAGACGGGGTTTCACCATGTTGACCAGGATGGTCTTGATCTCTTGACCTCGTGATCCACCCGCCTCGGCCTCCCAAAGTGCTGGGATTACAGGTGTGAGCCACCGCGCCCGGCCATGCAACTATTTCTTAACTTGGATTCCTAGAAGTGCATTTGCTGGATCAAGTACATCCACATTTTGAAATTTTGGTCAAGACTATAAAACTGCCCTCCCAAGAAGACTGCACCAACTCACTCTCCCACATGCCCTATTTTTCCCCCTGCCTGATGACAGGGAGTGACATATCCCTTTTGTTTTAGTTTGCATTTCCTGGATTATTTGTTAGTGAGAGAGAGCAGAAGTGGATTATTTATAACTAAGTTTACGCACAAAATTACCTGGAGATACAAAGAGACAAATAGCAAGTTCTTCTCTAAATGAAACTGATAACCTAGTTAAAGGGAAAATCTTTCATGTCAACCACAAATTGAAGTTCTTATATTTAGTGCCAGGACATCTAACACTGCTTTCAATCAAAATGTCAATGCATGCAGCTTGAGACCTTTGCACAGAAGGTGTCTGGGGTCATGGTTTGTGAAGATTAACCTGCCACCAGTGGGTGGGTGGATAAAAACTAATGTTTGTTGGGATCAAGATGAGCAGTCTCTGTGCCAGAAGCTTTATTCATTTAATTCCCACGGCCCTTTGAGGCACCCCATTTTATGGATGAGGAAACTGAGGTTCAGTTGGTTCAATAGCATGCAAAAGGTCACTCAAATTGATGAAAAGTGCAGCTAAGATGCGAACTCAAGACTGAAAACTCAGAGTCTGGGTTTTTAACCAATACCACAGGGCTTCACTACAGAAGAAAGTTAGAGTTTTCAAAAATAAAATGTAGAGCTGAGTGCCACCTTGGATATAAGGGTCTGGGAAAGAGTCAAGAACTCCCAGGCTTCCCTCTGGCTGTCAGTAGCAGTATGTCCTGGCAGTGGGAGCTGGGCCATCAGAGGTGGTGCCTGAAGTGGGGCAGGCACAAAATGGATTCTGGGGCGAGCCACAGAAAAAAAGATTTTGACGGGAGTGGTGGCTGAGTGTGGGGAGATACGAGATGGGGACCACGCCTGGAGCCTGGGCAGCCCACGACTGGACACTAGGAGAAGAAAAGGAGCCAGTGGAGGAGACACTGAGGCTAGGAGTGGGGATGGCACTGGGAAGGCTGGGCTCGACCTGGCACTCTGGGGAGCTACTGGCAGGGGGGCACACAGAGAGCTCAAGCTGCCTTACCAGCAAATGCCTCTGACCAGGGGCCATGAAATAAAGGGACACGGATGAGTAACTGGTTTCTGGTCCCTGCCAACCCAGGAAGCCAGCGCCCACTCTGCCTCACATCCCCTACATGCTACGCTCAGCCTTCCAAGCAAAACCAGCTGAGACCAGCACCTGCCAGGTCTGAATCCGCAGCTCTAAGTTCTGGGGGCAGGGGTGGGGGTCAGCCAAGGATGTCTGACTTCTTGGGGTCAAGAGTAGGGAGGACAGCAGGGAGGCTCACCCTGAGCCCGGCAGGCAGCCCTTCCTCCTCCTCCCTTTCAGCAAAGAAAGGCAGAGAAGAACGTGTTTTTATAAATAGCTCCAGCCCCAGCTGATTTGTAAATTCAGTGGGTTTTTTTGTGTCAATGACATCACCTTCCTCCCCATGGCAACCCCCGACGATATCAAAATTGCCAAGCAACGTTGGAGTAGCTCGGCGCCCCAAACGAGCAGGTCGATGCCTGAGGATTGAATGGAGAAATCCCAAAGTGAGCCGGGGCGAACTGTGGAGGAGGGGCGCGCCGCGGCCCGAGCCGCCGGGCCCTGATGGGCGGGAGCGGGGTGGAGCGGCAGCGCCTGCCACGCAGCCCTGGGCGCTGGGCTCCGTGGCCGCGCTCCCGAGACAGCCGCGGGTCCAGGCAGGTGGGGGAGGGTGCTGCTCCCGTCCTGAGGTGCCAGGAGCCACCAGCAGCCATCCAGGTGACTAAGCCGGCCCACAGGCATTGAGTCACCACCCGCCCTGAGCTGTTCCTGCTTCTCCTTTGCATCTGATTATTTTGGGAGCTGGAAACTTGGAGCTGCACCTGAGTCCCGCCCCTTCTAGCTCCCCCCTCCCTACCTTGGGCTCCAGGAAGATGGGACGTGCTGTGAGTCTGCTCCCACCCCCTAAAGATATGGAAGATGCTGTGGGGCCCAGAGGTGCCCACGGGGCTGTGGCAGCAGGCAGAGTGCAATAGCAGATATGGTGGTCAGGCTGCCGGTGTGTGTCCTCTGGAGGTGTCGGGACAGAAGGGCCGTCTTGTCCGAGATGACTGGAGTCCTTCCGGGCTGGCTCTGAACTCATCTCCCACGGGGATGTTTCTGTAAAGGAGTGGCTTCTGGGGTCGGAGTGGCATTTGGAGAGCGAGGCTGGATTGGCTTAGACTGGCCTGGGCAGGTAGGTGGCTCCGTGCTGGGCGTGGACCCACGTGTGTGTGAGTGCGAGAGCGTGTAAGCCGGGGCGTGTGCCATCGCTCTGCTGGGGGCAGCGGCTGGGTCCAGCAGAGAGCTGGCTGGAGGCTTGACAGCAGTTTATCCTAATTGATGCTGGGTGGGCGCAGGCCCTGAGATGGGCGTCAGGGAGAGGGGACGCCAGACACACGGCCTGAGCAGGGTGAGGAGCAGCTGCCAGCCTCGGCAGGCCCAGGCCCTGTCTGGGTGCACAGGACAGAGACACAACAAGATGCCCAGGTAGGAAGCCGTCCAGAGGGGCTGGCCAAGGGTGAGAGCCCATCACTGGGGGGCTGGACAGACCATCGGCTGCCCCCTCATTCTGGCAGGCCTGGGTACCAAGGAAACAGCTTCCTACCGAGAACCTTGTCACTCTCCCATGCAGGGCCAGGCAGCACCCATGTGCGTCTCTGCTGAGCTCACAGGGACACATTCAGTGAGAAGGGCGCTGGCCAGGGCACCGCTTCCCACAGTCAGGACCCAGTGGGTGCCACCCTCAAGCCCCTGGTCCCCACAGTGCATGCCCCAGTGTGTGTCAGGAGGAGGGGGGAGGTCCCGCCTCCCCCACACAGCTGGCAGCTTTTCGGGCACACCGGTGAGTAAGCTGCTGGAGGGAGGGGGGCTGTGTGCCCACAGAGGCAGGACCACACCAACCAGGAGCCTTCAGGAGAAGAGGCTGGGAGAGAAAAAGCACTGAGGTTTTCTTTTCCTTTTTTTTTTCTTCTATTTTGCCTGAAGGGAGTGCCGCTTCCTGGGTTAGAGACAAGCACCAGCCTGCAGTGGAGAACGCAGGGCCCCGCTGCCCAGAAGAAGCAGTCACGGTAAGGTCCCCACTGCTGCTGCGTGCTCAGGCTTCCTGGGTTAGGGACAGGGGTGCCCAGGTGTCCAGGCTGCCCCCCATCTGGTACAGGGAGGCTAACTCCACAGCTGTGGGTTCCTGGGTCAAGGAGCTCCATCCCCACCCAACCTGCACCCCTTTTCCAGATTGATAGTGAAACAGTCCAATCCCAGCTGGACTCCAGCTCCCTAGCTAGAGGGAGAGATGCTTGTATCTGCTGTTCCTGTAGGTACTTCCTGCACCTTCTGGGCAAAGCCAGTGCCACCAGGACACCCCTCTGCAAGGCTCCTCTCACCTTACCGCCTCAGGGACATTTCCCTCGCATATTCATTCCACAAATACTTAGCGCGCACTGCTGGGTCCCAGGCTCCAAGTCACACCCTTTTGCTGGGCATGACCTGGCACAGATTCTGACTCCGAAACTCAGCATCAGGGCAGGTTCAGGGAGCTTCCTGGCCAAGCACGGTCACTCCTCACAGGCCTTGGGCTCCCCACCTCTGCTGCAGGGAGGATGACCTGGTCAGCTTCGGGGACATCGGGCCCGGTGAGCTTGGGTCTATAAAGCACTGAGCCCACCAGGAAGAAGGCTAATGTCCTGCAGCCTCCAGTTGTCCTTTCCCTGGCATTGTCCACCAAGATGTTGATGCAGTTCTGCTTGGGGTCTTCCTGAGGCTGGTTCTGATTGGAACTGGGCTGCAGGAGGAGAGGATGAGTCTAGGGGCTGTCAGGCCTGGGATTCAGCCCCATGGGAGCTCATCTAGCTGGGGTTGAGGCCTTTGGGCCAGGCAAGGAATCCCCTCTGCAGGCAGGCTTTCCTGGCAGTTGTCCCAGTCCAAAGCTTGGAGGTGGCACCTGGGAGCCCTAGTGACCAGAGGACCTGGTTTGGAAAGGGTCCGCACCAGAAGAAACCCTTCTGGGAGCATCTGATTTGGCTGGAAGCTCCGTGCACCTGAGTGTGGGCTGTGGGGACTGCACAGCTGGCCCAGTGCCCTGAGAACGGACTGAAGCTCTGTGAGCGCTCTGGGCCCTCCCGGACTTGCCAGGCACAGGAAGGGTGGAGAGGGTGAGGTCTCCAGCCGAGGAAACCCCGCTCTGTCCACAACACCTAACGATGTCCCCCACTCTGGAGGAGCACACGGGCTCAGAGTCAGGAGGAACCCATAAGTGTCTCTCACGACAATGAATTCCCATGCCTGGCTCCAGATGAGGAGAATGACCCAGCTGTGGGGTATTTCCTGCTTCCTCACAGAAGGTGACTCTGTCCCTGGGAGTCTTCCATGTATGCAGAGCTGAGCAGGGGCTGCTACCCAACTGGGGAGAGAGGGGCGAGAGTGTCGAGCACCAGGCAGACAGCAGGCCAGCAACAGGCAGCAGGCGGGGCCAGGAGGGAGCAGAGAGTGGGGCCCAGGGCAGGCTGGGCAGGACAGGAAAAGGCTGCCTGCAGTCCTGAGGGCTCTGGGAGGACTCCAGACAGCTGGCCTTCTTATGCCAGCCCGCATTTGTGAGAGAGGCCCTCTGCACAGGGGACTGGGCAGGGAAGAGGCTGAGACGCTGAAAGACTGCATTCCTCACCCAAATGGTCCAGAGATGCCTACCGCACAGTGTCCTGTGTGCAGAAGGCAGCAAGGACCCATGGGAAGCTGTCCTGTGGCCTGAAGCAGAGAGTCCTTCCTCTAAGACGCTCTCGCCGCCCTGAGCAGGAAGGCCAGGCTGCAGGAGCAGTGCCTGAGACCTGGGCAGCAGGAAGGACCCCAGCAAAGCTCATCAGGAGTCATTTGGCCGCCTGCAGCTAGTGGGCCTCAAGGAAGGAGGCCCTAGGTAGAGAGAGATGGACTAGTCAGCAGGTTGGGGTGGAGCATTGTAAATGGAAGCTTCTGAGGCAGAATGAGTTCTCAACTTCCTGAAGCCCACAATGGCCCTCCTGCCCAAGGCAAGCAGTCTGCCTGGGCCTGGGAAGCTGCCTCCATCTGAGGAGGTACCCCTCCACCCCATCAGAGCTCGGCCCTAGGGCCCAGGAAGGGCTAAGATGAGGAGAGTGACACGTGAGATAAAGGCGACCATGTCTCCTCCAGGCAGGGTGTGGGGTCCAGGCAGCGCCTTGTTCTGGTGCACAGGCTGCCAAGCAGATGACAGCCATGGCCTGACCACTAGGTACAAGCAGTGGTGGTGGGAAGAGGGGGTGGACATGGCAGGACAGAGCTCATGCTTATAGGCCTGCAGCAGAGGAACGGAGGAACAGCTGAGCTGAGCATGGGGCCAGCCCCACTAGAAACAAGTGGAGCCACAAAACCACTATCAGCCCCCCGGTGGCTGCGTCCTTTTGCCCACGCTGGGCCCCAGACTGATCGCTGAAGTTGGCAGCCATGACCCATCCAGTCCAGATAACTTATAAGTTTGCACCAATACTGGGCAATGGTTGTTCACATAGAACTTTATAAAGATGGACATAAAAAAGATAAGCTGAGAATGACAGACAAAGGAAGAAGCAGCTTCTGTCTGCAGTTGCAGGCAGGAGGAGCAGGCTCAGGGAGAGACACCAGGGCGGGAAGAGGCAGGACAGTGGTTGTTAGGATGGTAGTTGGTTAATGCAGTCAGCAGCGTGAGCCTCAGGCCCCTGGCTGCCTCTTTCTGGTGACTCGGGCAAGTTACTTCGTGTCTCTGGGTCTCAATTTCCTCTCCTGTCTGACAGAGATAAGTATAGTACCTATGAGTTAGGGTTGTTGAGAGGATTAAATGAGATAATAAGTGAATGCTCTGAACAGCATGGTTGGCATGCACATATTCAGCAAAAGAGAACTGTTACCGATGTGGTGATTACGGGTACTGGAGGAACAAAGTGCCGGGAAAGACCCTACCTTGTTCAGGGGAATCAGGAAAGTCTTCACGGAGGAGGTGACTTCGAAAGAACCCTCCTCTGAGGAGAAACGAAAGCACTCAGAATGCCCAGGAAGGGTACGAAGAAACATGATGCCAGGTCTATTTTTTTTCCCAAATAGCACATTGTTTGTGCGCTGAGGCTTTCTAAGTAATAACTGGAGACTCCTCCTTCTGGGATCTAGACTTGAAGTGGCTGCACCTATTGGAGGGATTGGGAGTGCCACTGTGGCCCTGGCCCCACTCCTTTCTAGGCCTGGAAGCTTTTGTCACATGCTGGCCCTAACTCCACGAGGAGCTGTGCTGTGCTGAGCCCCATCTAAGCAGACACTTGGCGGTGTGGCCGGCAGAGGGGCAGACGGGGCACGAGGGCTCCTGGACCACTCTGGCAAATGGAAATGCCTAGTAATCGTGAGACTCTGTCTCAGAGACTTTCTGGTTTTTCTACAAAGGGTTATCCGTTCTGTGAATTTAGGAAAGGTAATCTTGAAGTCTATTCACCTTGGAAAAACGAGGCAACTCCAGAGCACGACTGGCTTTCATGGGCTGGGGGAGCTCACATGTGAGAAAACAGGTTCCCTCATAACCATACAAGGGGTCACAACCACCTCGGCCCCAGCAAAGGGACGCCACTGCCGGCCAGGATTTCCTACAAAACCTCATCACCACGTACAGGGACAGTGATGACTTTTTTTGTACACCTGTGGATTCTCTGTAGGCAACCTGTTCCTCCTGTTCCCCTAAAGTGCTGCCTCGGTCAGCAAACACCAGTGTCTCTCAGCCCAGGCAGTAATCTCCTGTGCTCTGGTCTGCCCATACCCACCATGCAGTCAGCTCCCTGGGCCTCTGGCTAAGGGTCTGGGAGCAGAGCTCTGTCCTTCAGGCTGTCAAGGACCTGGTGAGGGGTCCTCTGGGTGTCCAGGGAAGCAGGTCCAGAAAGCTCAGGTCAGCTGGGGCTGTGTTTTGATCTCTGATCCCACTGCAGTGGGGACCATCTCACTCAACTCAGGAAAGAGCAACAAACCGGTCACCTCACCCAAGGCCTCCTGCTGCCTGCCTGGTGACCAGGACCCTAAAGGCTGCAGCAGTGGCAGAGTTAAACTTTCAAACCGGGAGGACTGGTTCTGTGGTTCAGCTTCCTGGCCTGGAGAGTCTCCAGCCTCCATTTTCTTGCTTATGGAATTGTGCAATAAAGCACAGAGGGTGGAGGGAGTGAGGGGACCAGTTATGCCGCAGCCTCCTGAGCCACCGGAGCACAGTCCCAGGTCAGCAGGGAGGAGCTCCAAGGAAGAAAAGGCTGCCCAGGAAGGAGCTGGCTGTCTCAGATTGCCATAGCACATTCAAGCCTGAGGGAGTCCCCAGAGAATGTTTCATCCAGCCTCCATAGTTTTAGAATGGGAAGCAGAGGTCCAGAGAAGGAAAGTGGGTCCTGGGACCACAGAGCTAATAATGGCAGTGTTGGTTTCCAGCCCAGGGGTCCCCAAACGCCTGCCCAGGACTCTTGCTACCCAGGCTGCCCATGCTTTCAAGGGGCCCGTGTGGGCGCAGGCAGCAGCCGCTGGGTAAACCGATGTCTTGGGAGAGGTGGCCTGGCCTGACGTATTGGGAGGCTAGACTGGTCCCCTTCGATCCTGGGTGCCTCCTGCTACCCCCCTTGCATCCTGCTAGACACAAAACCACAGCCCAGCCTGTGCCTGTCAGTCAAGTGCTTCCCAGGGATAAACTCTGCACACAGCACCCGGGCCATTCCTGGGGACCAGGCCACTCACTGATAAAGAGATCTAAGTAATTTGTAAGTGGATTGACTCAAGTTCTTTTTGTCCCAGGTAACTTCATGTCTTAAGCCAAAGAAGGGAGTCATGCTGAGTGTCAGAGATGAAACAGAGATTCTGGGGCAGAGGGTAGGGAAGTCACCGGAGAGGCCCTGTTCCCCAGGAGATTTTTGACCCCAGGCAGGCATTTACATGTCCAACAGCTACCATCAGAGGTCACCTCCCAGAAGCAGGAGGCCTGTCACCTGTCACCAGTCACCAGGCCCAAGTTTGACTGGAAGACTTTGTCTATTCCATTAGAGTGGATCTTGCTGGAAGATGATGTGTCTGGGATTCA